CTCTGTTTTGTGCCATTAAAAAATGGTTCTTGGGAACATCACTTGTATTTAAAACTCGGTAAATTTTTTTTAATTCTGCCTTTCTTCAGACTTATATATCCCACGGCCCCTTTGTTCTGTTGCAGCAATCTTCAGATCTTTCTTGTATAGAAGCTTTGCTGAGCCATTCCACTTTTCCTCTTGTTTTTCTCCTTCCTTGTGTGATTCTTGCTGTCTTTTCTATCATCTGGTTCCTCTTTCTGCTGTCTTATGTTTGTTCTTCCTTTTTATTTTCTTTTTTTTTTCTTTTTCTTTTTTTGTCTCCCCAAACTATCTCCTGGTTCCTCGTTCCCTGCATGCCACTAACTAGTTTCATTAGATATTAATTGATTTGTGAATTCAGGCTGAATTGCATCATCAGCAGATGGCGGATCCAGACCTGTTGGAGGAATCCTCTTCGCTCCTGGAACCAAGCGAGATGGGAAGAGGTGCCCCGCTACGACTCGGGTAATGGCAATTTGTGCTTTCTTCTGTCCTGCGTTAGGGTTGCTGGTTTACGTTCATCCTGTGGCATCCGCAACGATTTGAGCACAGTTGTGCAACTTTCCGGGCTGGCACGTCAAGCAGATGAAGGCTGATCTAGAACTAGCTGTTGGTCTCTGGTTTTGTCCTGCGTAGATTAACTTCCCAGTTCATATTTGTGCTTCACACATCTCTCTCTGCACAAGAAAATTTTACTAGTTTGTTCCTTGTAAATCTGTTCTGGTTGCTTTTTCAGACATTCTGAGCTCTCACAGCTTTGTTGAAACTAGTAACTACTGTGGGCACATAATACTCTGAGAAATCTGTATAGTTCTATATCCTCTTCATTAGCTGCTTCCAGGCTGTCTTTGTATGTGTGTAATTCTTTATTTGGACGCAGGGGTTTGAACCAGTGAGGTCTTCTGAAGCACATGCCTAGAACATAGTCAATGGTAGCTGTGACTGCTATAATCCTTGCCATGTAACGTACCAGGAACCTATTGAAATGAAGACTAGCAGGCATAGAAACTGTATGTCTAAATGCATTTGTTTCTCCTTTAACCAGTGATTTATTTATTTTTTTAATAGACGATGTCATTCTGTTAAAAGGCATAGCTTTTGCTGTAGTGCAGTTGTTTTTGTCGTGTTTTTATCTCTATGTATTTAGAGGACCTTCCATTTTGCTTAAAGAGCTAATTTCAAAATAAGATTTTTGTAGCTTTCAATCTGATGCTAAACTCCAGTTGCCACCAGTGTTTCGGGCGTTAGGCTGTGTATTCTTTTAGGTGCAGAACTGACATTTATGCTGTCCCCTTTACAGGTTTGTGGCTGGTGTGATCAACCGTGAGCGAATCCCCATGTTTGAGCGCATGCTGTGGCGAGTGTGCCGAGGGAACGTATTCCTGCGTCAGGCAGAAATTGAAAACCCCCTGGAGGATCCTGTAACGGTAAAAGGAACTATTGTTTACAGCAGCAAAAGTCTCAAATGTGTAAAAGGATTTTTTTAATAGATCTAAGTCTTTATCCCTTAATGAGCTCCATGCAGTCAAACGTTTGTGTTGTGTCCCTTCACAGTACCTACGTGCAGCCTCTGAGGCTTTAGTGACAAATGTCTTCCTGTTTTATTAAAACAAAAATAGGAGCATGGATGGCGAATGCTGTTGAAAGGGGGGAAAACAACTCAAAATTTGGACTGCAGCAGGGCACAGTTGCTTCTCTGGCACAAACTACAAGTGCAACTCCTGTATGCAATTCTGAATAAGTAGTGATCCTCCTTGAAAGAGGCTCTTTTGGACATTAGCAGCGTAACATCTGTAGCTCATTCACTCTGAACTTGGACCTTTCGTTTTTCTTAATTTGCTAACCAATAATTTAAACATCCACCTGAGAATTTTTGGCTTTATTACAAATATAAATAGTAAATGTTGTGATTGGGCCTGTTTTTACATTCAGTGACCTCTTTGCTCGAATCAACAGACAATGCCCAAACTTCGGGAACTCTTGCTCCTAAGCAGTAAAAAGAAAAGCTGCATGTAGGCTGCACTGGAACAAAGACAAAAGAGTTGAAACTCAGTAACTGCCTCTTTGTTTCTCGTGTAAGGCTGACTTGTTCTCTTGTCCCACTGACTGCTGGTAGTTGACCTGCTGAATTATCTGTCTACTAGGAGAGACTTTGTTCTTATTGTGCAACACTTCCTTAAATTGAGGTTACACCTAATGTAATTATTCTTGAAACATTACGTTAAAATTTCCTAAGTAAGGTCGAACAATAACTTGTCAACAAATGCAGGAAAGGGGACCTGGCTACCAGCATGAAAACAGCTGTACAAAGAATGTGCCGCTGGCCTCCCTGGAGAGTCAAAGTTGTTAAAGTCCGCTTCATCTTATTTTCATTCACTCTTTAGCTTTTTGCTTGATTCTGTAGGTGAGCTGACTGCAGTAAGTGCTGATAAATATTTCATTGCATCTCTCTTCTTTTGGAGATCTTCCCAGGTTTTCCTGTTTATTGTATTACATAGAATAGATAATAGATAATCTAGAACATTTTGCTCCAGTAAACACAAGTACAGTAGGGGTATTCTATACTGAGGCTAAGAAAATTGCTTTCCTTGTGACCGTTTCAGTGTTGTTAAGGTACATTTTTGACTTGCTGTGCAGATATGAGCTCTATATGTACAGATTCAGAGGAAGGAAAAGCAGGACTCTGTTGTAATTTGCTATAATGCTAATTTCTGTAAATAGCTGAGCTATTACAGTGTACTCTTTCTTCTGTTCTAGGGGGATTATGTGCACAAGTCTGTGTTTATCATCTTTTTCCAAGGTGACCAGCTGAAGAACAGAGTCAAGAAGATCTGTGAAGGGTATGAAAGTCTTACAGCTGGGCAGCTCTCTCAAATATGTGAAACACATTGACATGAGTTAATATCAATATTTTTCAAATCCTTATTTCACAATGACTGTAGGAGTACATGTTTTGATAAAACCTATCATAAGTAGCTGAAACGTATTTTGCAGTCAAACTAGCCACTCCCCAAGCCCGTAATGCTCAAAGCAGATGACTACTTTGCTAGAGAATGCCTGAAAACAAGGGAGTTCAAGTGTTGAACTCTCGGACAGACCTAGTGGGATGTCAGCAGGTGATACCCTCACAGGGAGGACCAACAGTGACTGCTTCTAGCAGCAGCTGCATTGGCATGATAGGAGCACCCTGACCTGGGATGGCTAATCAACTTCGTGACAGTGCCTTTGAGACACTGTCAGTACAGGGAACAGAGGATTTTCTCCCACTTCCATTTTCTTAAGCATTCAGCTTCTGTTTTGGCAGTCTTTGCTGATCAGAAACTTCTCTTAAGGCGCTTGTTGCTTTATTTCTGTGTTCAGCCATCTGTTTCCCTGACTTGGTTTATCTTCTTTCCATCTTTGTTACTAAGGTGGCTTGCATGTCTTTCAGATTCCGTGCCTCCCTCTACCCCTGCCCAGAAACACCGCAGGAGCGGAAGGAAATGGCTTCTGGTGTCAATACCAGAATTGATGATCTTCAGATGGTAAAATAACTGGGGTCAATGCCCTTTTTTCTTTAATAATATAGTTGAAAACATCTTTGGATCCTATCAAAACAGGAGAATTTTTGGCCCTATTAGATGGCCGTATTTTCAGCTCCAGGTAGCTTGAGACCAGCAGCTCATCAGTGCAAGAAAGGTGTTTGGAGACTGTCTGCTCAGTTGTTTTCTTTGTCAGGGTTTAGGATGGTGGAGTGGTTTCCTCTTTCTGGAGGGCTAAGCAGTTAATTATATAGATGTAAGTACAGCATCGATAGAGAACATCATGCCAGGGAGCAGAGACGAATATGCATGTGTAAGGAGATACCATGTTTTCCAACTCTGAAAGCATGCTTGTATAATTGTCTGCTTCATCTGCAAGAACTTTGAAAACCCTTAAACTTATTTCCAAATTGAGATAACAATGCTAACTTTAACTTAGCTATTTTTTTTTTCTGCCTACCTTCATATTTTCACATTGGGCTGTCCTGAAGAGCTTCTGCTTTACAACTAATCTCTTGTGCAGCAGCCTGAGTGTTGGTAAAAAGTAATCAGCACACAAATCTACTGGGTGCCAGCTGTGAAACATTTGGTGCTTGCTTCAAGGAAGAAAGGCAGTATGTTATATGCAGAAAAATTTAAGGGATTTGAGACAAAAAATAAGAAAAGGTTCAGAAACTAAAAAGGAAAAACGGTTGAATTTGGACTGCTTATTTGATACAGAAACTGTCTCAAGCTGGGAGTTGTGTAGTACAGCTGTTTAGCAATTTTAAAGTAGACAAGAACTCAGAAGCAATTTAACTAGTAGGATTCAAAGCTGCGTGTGCCCTGTGTCCTCCCTTTCCCTTGAGCCTAAGACTTTCCAGTCTGGAAGTCTGACTTGGCATGAGTTAGATATGTTCCAGTTGGAAAACACCCTCAGTAGAAAACACTTTCTCATTTTCCCTTCAGTAAAAAAGTCTTCCATTGTAATGTTTGTGTGTTTTCTTAAGGCAATGTACACCTCACTTGTAGAACTCTTCTCTGCTCTTTTAACCTGGGTGGAGGAAAAAATGTTCTCTGTGATCTCTGAACAGTTCGTGGTTTGAAATATCCACTGACCTTGGAGTTGGAGAAGGAAAGTAGTCAAAAAGTATCCCTGGAAAGCAGCCTTAAAACCTTTTAGCAGAACTAATTAATATGGAGACTAAAGCATATATTGCAGGCATGTGGCAGTCTTGTGCATGGTATGGGGGAGAGGGCTCATCCATCCGTCCTCTGGTGGGTAAGGCTTGTCTTGTTGGTCAGCCCGATTTCACTGTGCACTTCTGTATGCTTTGAGTTTTGGTCAATGATTTTGCCTCGTCTTTATCCTACTTCTCTTTGAAAGGTGCTGAACCAAACAGAGGATCATCGCCAAAGGGTTTTGCAGGCAGCTGCTAAAAATATCCGTGTCTGGTTCATCAAAGTACGCAAGATGAAGGCCATCTACCATACCCTGAATCTGTGCAATATCGATGTGACACAGAAGTGCTTGATTGCTGAAGTCTGGTGTCCTGTTGCTGACCTCGATTCTATCCAGTTTGCTCTCAGGAGAGGCACTGTGAGTAACTGCTGTACTGCTCCTGTCTGCTGCTGTTCAAGCAGACTAGCAACTGTCAGCAAACACAGCATGGATTAATTGATTTTTCCAAACTGCGAGTCTCTGAAAACCATCCCTTCGGGCTGTTTGAATGAGTCCTCACAGAGGGCAGTTTATTTAACATGCAGGAACCATGGCTTATAGATAAACTGTAACAAATACATTGTGTAAAGCTTTACGTTCAGGGAAGTGCTGTAATGATAAGGCATTTTCCGGTGTTTGAGTCCTTTGGTACATTTAGTTGTACATAGCTGGCTGTGCTTTGTAGTCCTGCTGTTTGGATATATAGTGAAACTTATTGAAAGGAGCTATCCAGGACATTAGCAAGCTCGCCATCTGCTCAGATAGATAATGGAGTTGGGTGTCTTGAAGTCCTTTCATTTGCTGTTTTAAAGAAAACAAACTCTTGCATGAGTTATCTTGTCTGTCCTAATCAGACAATGTTCATCCGTACTGCAAGTGCTTCTCCTCCTGCTATACAAAGTGGAGAGCAGTGGAAACTTGGCAACCCTCCTCAGCTGCTCAAGTATATTTCTCATCATGCAAGCACACTAGAAAAATGCAAGCTTGTAGTTTTCCAAACGCTAACGAGAAAGTGGTGTTGTACTCTGTCCTCCAGTGCTCTGAGGGTGGGTTTTCTAATCTTTTTTTTTTTTTTTTTTAAACAGGAGCACAGTGGATCCACTGTCCCATCTATTTTGAATAGGATGCAAACTAATCAGACCCCACCAACATACAACAAAACTAACAAGTTTACTTCTGGCTTTCAAAACATTGTTGATGCTTATGGCATTGGAACATACCGGGAAATAAATCCAGGTAAAATCATACTTATAAAAGTCCAAGACATATATCTCAATTTTTTAGTCGTGGTGTTTCTCTGTATTGTCTGTCCTGTGTGAAAATTTCTAATAGAGTATTTAATACCTTTCAGAAGCAGAGGAGAACCTTGGGAATTACATTGCTAAATTGCATAAATTATACTGTGGTAAATCTGGGCTTACTCAAATACAGTGCCCTAGGAGTGTCATCTTTTCTCTTACAGCACCATATACAATCATTACCTTCCCGTTTCTGTTTGCTGTGATGTTTGGAGATTTTGGCCATGGAATCCTGATGACTCTGATTGCTGTCTGGATGGTGCTCAGGGAAAGTCGTATTCTGTCAAAGAAGAGTGACAATGAGGTACAGTGCAGGTCATGCTGAGCTTTGCATTTAAAACAAAGAGTTGCAGCTTGGTTTACTCACATCCTTCCCCCCCTGAGTTGAGAATGCCCATTTCTCCTTACATTTGAAATTTGTGAAGCACACAGACAGAGACGCTTGTAGACCACAGACAGAGTAGCATCATTTCATAACAGTAGTGAGTTCCTTTAGTTTTCCTTTCAGATGTCTATAGGAAATTATTACTTTTAGTTGTTTGAAGGAAATTGTTTATCAAGTGTAGTAGGTAAGCTGTTGTAAACAAATCGCCCAAAACTTGGTTGGATCATAAAGGGGTTCAGTCACTGCAAAACTCTTAATTTCTGTACGTGTCTATTGTATCTTCAAGATTTTTCCTATTTGCTGATCTAGGTGGGTTTTGCTTGCTCAGGGCTTAGGTTGACAGGAGGTGAACCAGAGTTAAGATACACTGACAGAGCATGGAGAAAGCTGAACGGGGTCTGCACTGCCTAGTTCCAAACTAATGCTGCCAGCTGGGGGCTTGCATCAGTGCGTGGAGTGCGATTTATCCTCTTCAGCTAATCCCAGATTCTCCGTGGACAGTCACGCTGCCTGTTTATCCTCTGTATTCAGTTTCTGTTCTGCAGTGCTATCTCTTGCACCCTTAATCCCTGCCATGGGGAAACAGAGACATTGGGCTTTTAGTCCATATGGCCGATATTGTTTGTCCTGCAACTAACTGATTTTACTGTTTCGTCTTTATGAGAGACCTTCCTTGTTCTCATGGACTTTATTTGTTCCTTTTTGGGTTTTTTTGTTTTTTTGTGGTTTTTTTACTAGATGTTCAACATGGTTTTTAGTGGTCGATACATCATTCTGCTGATGGGACTATTCTCCACTTACACAGGCCTCATCTACAATGACTGCTTCTCCAAGTCTCTTAATATGTTCGGTTCATCATGGAGTGTCCGACCGATGTTCTCAAAAGGCAATTGGTCGTGAGTAAATAGTTGGTAACTAGATAAAGAGTGACAGTGATAAGCAGGTGGCTTATCTTTCCCCATTGTCCTCCCAACTCATGAAAACAAAAACTTCTGAACTCAGGCTCAGGTAGAATTGGAAGAGGGGTGTAAATGTCATAGCTATCAAGTTTCAAACCAGCTGCTTTTTTTTTTTTTTCCCCCAGAAAACTTGTAAAGACGCTGTTTAGCACCTTCCTCCTCATAGACATAGTAAGATTCCTGTCCCCTGCATCCTTCTTCTTTGTGACACTAAGTAACAGGTCACGAGACAGGTTTATTACTCGTTCGGAAAATCCTTAGGACCACGCAGAAGCCTTAAAATTCTCTCAATTTGAGATATTCCTTGCTCTCACAAGGGAAGACTGTTGTTAGTTTTTACAGGAAGAGGACAGTGTTGCTTGTGTTAATGTTTGTATAATCTACTTATACCCAAACAGAGATGCCTTGCTTGAGAATACTCCTCTGCTTCAGCTGAACCCTGCTATTCCAGGGGTGTTTGGTGGACCCTACCCCTTTGGCATTGACCCGGTAAGAGCTTTTCCTTCCTTTGCTGTCCTTTAAGGACATCCTCTGTGTCAACAGAAGGAAAAGTGCCTGTCCAGTTCACTGTGAAAGACTTCCACACCCCAGCCATTCCCTTAGGAAACTCTTTATCAATGTTGGAAATACTCCTGAACGATAAAATTAATTCAGTTCCTATTGAGATGCTAGATTCGGGATAGAGAGACTTGTTGTCAGGTCCATTAAAGGCTTCTTTCTCGTCCTTTCTAACCTGCAGCGTTTTCATCAAATCTGGTTAGACTTGCAAATCGCTTTATGAAGTTACTTTTTTACCTTGGGGAAAGTTATCTCTTTTTTCAGTCAGTCTTGGAAATGTAAGTTTCCAAGTAATCCTGTCATTTTGTATCTGCCTACATCAGTAACACTGCTCCTCACACTGCTTAGAATATTTGATACGAAACTTGTGTGTGTTCCACATGAAAGAGGAAGTGCAGAAAATCAGAACGATGTGTAGTCGTTCATTTAAATGGATGATCATATTTTTTTCTGTCAAGGATACAGCCACCTTTCTCCTGCAACTTTTGCCTACCATAAAAACAAGCAAGGTTTGATTCCTGCTCTGATGGTGGGATCAGTTGCTGTAAGACAGTGTTCCTAGCAGAAAAGGTTGTCTGCTCATTTCCCCAAAAGATACCCATGTGACAAACACATCTTCAAAAAAAACCTACTCTTACAGCCTAATACTTCCTGGATGGTTAATACTGTTTGGTTCAAAGTGAACATTTTCATTCTCCTCTGTTTTTCTTTTACTCAGTGTTTGGCTGACTCAGTGTTGTTTTTCACAGATTTGGAATATTGCCAGCAATAAGCTGGCCTTCCTCAATTCGTTTAAAATGAAAATGTCTGTGATTCTTGGCATTATCCACATGCTCTTTGGTGTCACATTGAGTCTTCTCAACCATATGTAAGCGCTTTGCTCTGTTTTTCTCGGGGCGGGTGGGGGGGAGCTTCTTTGCGTGTAATGTGTGTATTAGTTTAAGATGCGGGAGCCTATCAAGACTTTAACTTCTGACTGAAGGGTGCAATACAGTTGTTTCTGTCTGCATATGTAGAACTATGCATGTCGAGTAGTTACAGTGTTTAAGTCCCAGCTATTGTTGAAATGCTGAGCCCCTACAGTTTTGTTCCAAAGATGCTCTTCACATTCTCATTAAAAGTTTCTGCCCTACATCTGCCTATTTCTAACCAAATGTAATTTTAAACTCTCTTTTTTTTTTTTTTTTTCCTGTAGCTATTTTAAGAAGCCACTGAACATATACCTTGGATTCATTCCAGAAATTATTTTCATGTCATCACTGTTTGGATACCTTGTTATTCTCATTTTCTACAAATGGACAGCCTACGATGCTCACACGTCAAAGGATGCACCAAGCCTTTTAATACATTTTATCAACATGTTTCTGTTCTCCTATAGTGATACCAGTAATAAGATGCTTTATAAAGGGCAGGTGCGTGTTCTTGCTAGAATAGGATCAGAGATGCTTCATGATATTAGTCTTTTACTGACCTTATAATAATTGTGAAATCAAGTGTGAAACTATTTTTCTCTGTGATAGAGGAAATGTGGCATCATTTCCAAAGCCTATGGACACTATGTAATGTTGAAGAAGGAAGGAACGATACCCATACCGGGAACTTATATCAGTCTGAACCTAAGTCAACTGTGGCTCCAGAATGTTTGGATCCAGACTAATAGTGGAAAGCGATAAGGAATATTGTCCTGCATCTGCAGTGTGGTGCCTCTAAGCTTAGCTAAGACACTAATGCCATTTCATCCCAGCACTATCAGATGTCTGCCGAACTGTCATTCCCTGCAGAATCTTTTGGATTTTCCCTTAATCTAAACCAGTATCAGCCTTACATGCTGTGTACAGTCAGATGGTGCAGCTGCAAGCAGCCATTAAGTACAGCACATCTTGCTGTTCCAGAAAGAGGGAGAGAGAGTGAAGTGTCCACGTACTCTGGGAATTCAGTCATTCAGTGTTGCATAAGACCTCTTGCTAGGTTTCTTGTGTGTGTTTGAGCGTGGACTGCCACTAAATCATCTGAGACTTGTTTCTTTTACAGCAAGGGCTCCAGTGTTTCCTAGTGGTGGTGGCGTTACTGTGTGTGCCATGGATGCTGGTAGCTAAACCCCTGGTCCTTCGCCATCAGTATTTGAGGAGAAAGCACTTGGTGGGTGACTACCTCTTATATTTTCGATAAGAAAACTAATTACGGTTGAAAAGCTATGTTCTCTATCTTGATCTTGGATACGTAGGTTCACACTGCATTGTGACCTGTAAAACATTTTTGCATATTCCTAGGCATAAAGGTGGGTTTTACTGGAGACAAAGTATTGCCTGCCTGCTTCTCAGATCTGGATCCAGCATCAAATCTGCTTTTAAAAACCCTGTATATTGGTAATTATAAAACAATGTATCTGGCTTGGGCTTTGTCAGCTGGTTTAGGAACACTGTCTTACTAGTTGCTGGATGCACTCCTGTGCCTTCGCTGGGCTGACAATGTAAAAGCAGAGGTGTAAGCTCGATTGGCTGGCAGGCTTATCAACCATCTTTTTTTACCGTCCAAACTGCTTTAACAGTAACAATTAAAAGGAAAAAAAAAAAAAAAGACACAGTCATTTTGTGAGAGATTGTCTTCTGGGGTACTCTCTAGGTTTCCAACTGTACTGTAAAGTATCTTTATATAAAATGCAGGAACCTGGCACACGTGCACTGAGGATACTTGAAAATTCTCCCTGCATGTATGGCAGACAGCTTTTAGGATGTTAAGTGAGTCAAAGATCAGTTCAGTTAAAGACACTCCCTCTCCCTTCTCTGACCATCTTTCATCCTCCCATGTCCCCTCCATTCGTCTCCCTTTCTCTTTTTGTTTTCTTCCTCCTCCCTTTCTTTTCTTCCATTCACTATCAGGAAGGGCAACCCGTGGAGGCCCAAGTCAGCACAGTCCCGAACGAGCAGGCACTAGAGGCAGCAGCGGCTGCAACAGTGAGTGGATTTAAAAATCACCTGATGGATTTAAAGATGGGAGTTGGCTTTCTATCTAATTATCAAGAGAGCATGGAATGTATCTGAATTTCATAAGGGAATGACAACTGCACCTTTAGGGTGAAAAACACTTTCTCTTGGAAAGAGCAAAGTTCAGCAAAATTGATACATTCTGGAAGAACTACCAGGCTGAAGGATAATAGTTATGTGTGCACAGAATGCAGAGACACTTCTTTGCAGGAGTGCTGCTGAAATCAAAACCTGCAGAGCAGCACAAGAATACCTTGCTACCACATCCCCCCAGGTTAAGTTCCCCTTTTTTCCTTTTCTTGCATATTTGTTTAAGATAGATTAGGATTCTTCTTAGTGAAGCATTTCTGTTTGCATTAGGTGTTCCCAAACATCATGTTTATGTGATGGCCTCCCAACAACTTCATATCAGTAATTACTGGATTTTTGACACCTGTACCCTTGTTGACAGACTTGAAACTATTATAAAGTGGTTGTGCACAAATAAGCCTCTCGGTAGTGTTTTTTTCTACTTATTTGTGTCTAAACCTATAGACAGCCTTTTACTGCTAAAGCTTTTCTGGCTTTTGTCCCTTCCCCAGTACTGCATATTTCAACTTGTTTTTTGTTGTGAATGCTGCCTAACTAGGAAGCTTAGATCTCACAAACTGTGTGAAGCGCATTGTGCACTTCCACACGTCAAAGGCACTTTGAGGCACTTTTTAGCTGTTGGCCAGTGTTTCTATCATGACATTTTAAATAGCTGCACGGAAATGTCAGAAATTAAAATGGATCTTTTGTGCATAATCCATCCAGCATATTAAGTGCATCTCAATACAAGAAGCTGTGAGGGAAGGTCTTTGTATGAGGTGTGGTTAGAAGTATAAAGTAAACGATTAGAGCTTTTGGAGCCGTGTTTGGATTGGATAGTTTACAGAGAACAGATACAAGTCGAGTGCGAGGGAAAAGCTGCGAAAGTGCAAATTCACACAGGCTAGAAATACATAAATAGAATACTGATACTAGTCATCAGTAACTTGTAATGTTTCAGAGATGCTGAAAATCCTAGTAAAAGCATTGTCTTACTTACAAATGGGGGGGGTGTGTCATTTTATTTCTATTTTCAGAGCATAAACATCTACCCAATTTGTTTTTAGAAAACTCACAAAATCTTTAATTCACATCTGGTGTTTGGGGCAAATTTATAGTTCAGCCTGAAATAAAAGCAGGCTTCTAAGAACAAATGAGTTAAAAGAACATCGAGCAGCCATTCCCCTGGTACGCCAGAGCAATGTGCTGTGAAAGCGGACAGGTCACGGGATCATAAGCCTCCTTGGTTTGCATAGTCATCCCGAAACTTCTGAAGTCTTAGCCCATTCACATTCCATGTCATAGATGACCCCAGTAGAGTGCTAAAGCTGAACTCAGGGCTTTTCTTTCCATTTGTGGCATTTCAGTTTGCCTCTCTAGGTGGGTCAGACTCACAGGTCTTAATTTGTAGTCCCTCAGACCAGTCACGAGCATTTTCTGTCTTTGGAGCATCTGGAGGGAGATAGAAATCCTGCTGTACAGTGCTCAGAGCTGCTTGCTGAACAGAAATCCAAAGATAGTGATGTGCAAGTTACACCTTCATTGTCCAATACGCATTTATGATGCATAAAAGCTCTAACTGAAGATGATCAACAGGTTTACACATCTGCTCTTGGTGGTAGGACAGTATGGAGGAGGAAGCCTGCCATAAATCAAATGCTAACTGTGCCATGATTGCAGTTGTCAAATGAGAGAACTCCTGACTCTATCAAAGTTTCAACTCAGTTTGTAGATTATTCTTTTCTGTTTGGAGTGCAATGGAGTTACTGCTGAGGGTCAGATGTTGAATGTCAAAACAGATGTCTATAAAAGGGACTGTTTGCACAAGGTAGAATTTCCAAGTAAGGGAAGGTCTGATTTCCCACGTGTGGTTTGTGTGCCTGATGCTGGTGGGGAGCAAGTGTGTGTATGTATATTTGTGTCAGTCCATTCTGCTTTGAGTTGCCACTATGTGACTTGTTCCATTTACAACAGCAGTGGTGTTTCAGTGCTTGTCCAACAGCTGCTGGGCAAAACGTTGGTCTGTTGCACGTCAGTGCCAGCAAATGTCCTCCTGAGATGTGCCTTTTATTTTACTTAGGGTTGCAGTTACTTTGTAGAAATGTATCAATTATTCATTCAGACAGACTTTTTTTTCCCCAGCCCTAGCAGGAATCAGCATCTTTCCCATCCAAGCTGGGAAATAGAATTGTACAGCTGGCTTAACCTGGGCCTTAATACTTAATATTTTGTTTTCTTCTGTGAACTGCTGCTGCACGTGGAGTCGTAAGAAACACGCGCTTTTGCAGTAAAACACAAACAACACTTCGCTCTTTCTTTTTCTGTATGTGTTAGGGAACGCACAACTTTGGTGGGATCCGGGTGGGCAATGGACCAACTGAGGAGGATGCCGAGATCATTCAACATGACCAGTTATCTACCCATTCCGAGGAGGGGGAAGAGGTAAGCACCTGGCCATCCTTGCTCTCAGGGCAATGCACTTGGTAGCAGAACATGCTAGCGTTTTGACTGCATTTACTGATTTCTAAGCTGCTTAAATAGCAGCATTTTCAGTGAAGTGTTTTCATAGTCTGTATGAAAACTGCTATCTCTTGGTCATTCCCAGGACTCCAGAAAAAGCAGTATAATTTGCATATAACGGGAAACATGGCTCTGTTTGTCCCCATTAAAAAGAACCATCATCTTACAGGCCACACAGCGAGAGTTGCACAGTACTCCCAGATCGCATATGCAGCTTGCGCTCTGGCTGCAGTGCAGTGCATTTGTGCTACCTCGCTTCTCCAGTGGCAGCCAAAATCCTTGGGCTGTATTTCTGCAGCAGTGAAATCTTGCTTATATATTAATTTTGACTGTTGGGTGTAATATTAATTGCTTTGCCTTACTTCTGGTAGAGAAGAAAAAGGAGTCGATCTCACGTAGTTTGGGAGTATTCTGATGCCTCTTAACAATTCTCCAGTGGTATCTTGCCTCTGTAGTGCACATGATGTGTTACTGCTTTACTGTGTCAGGTTTAGGAGGGAATTACTGAATGTGTTCATGATTAATGTTGTGATCGAGATACCGCACTAAATGTAAACTTATGTTTTCAAGCCTACAGAGGATGAGGTGGTAAGACTACAGCCAGCTTCGCGTTCATGTGTATCTGGACCATTTCCCATTGGTGTAAAACACGTGCTGAATTAAACATGTCATGACATCTTGTTTTCCAAAAGACTTAGCTATTTACATGTTACAGGCCATTTTTAATTCTTCATGCGTACATGCCCATTAACAGACCTTTAATTACTTCATCTGTACAGCTTGTTTGTCTTATCCCCTGTCTGCAGATCTTTCTTAGTTTACCTGGAAAGCTGTTAAGCTGGAAGTCTGAAACGGAGAGGTTTTTGCTTTTAAACTTCATTTGCCTTATGTTGTGTCTTTGGTAATTCTGCACTGCAACAAACTGTTCAAAGATATTTTTTCCCAAACTATCTGCCATTTTAAGGATGATACTGATTGTTGCCAGTCAGCGAATATGGCAAAACCAGTCCAGTTTGATACAGTTCAACAGCTTACCTAACCAGTATCTTTCTGTAAAAGAGAAGCTCTGTTCTGAGAAACTGCTCGTTCATACACACTTGTAACAAGTATGAGTATTAAATAAATGTTTTTTAGGAATACACATACAGGACTGGTTGTAGGTTTCAGTGCTATCAGGTAACCGATTTTATTACAAAAAAAATATAAATGCCATGAAATTAAAGTAGCTTCACAGTAATGATGCTGTTGTAAAGTGGGTTTGCTTAGACATCTATTATGCATAGGTCCATCTAGAATTGAGGGCGGTGCAGAAACAGCGTGCTGGTGTACCTGTTAATTCTATATATTGCTAAACTTGTGAAAAATGTGTAAAACTACAAATACTGTGCCATAGCAATCCTGCTGATTCTCCCACTCCCTAGCATAGTGGTAACTCTCTTCAGCAGTTGCACATGGCTGTAAATTGTCATTGTTTAAATATTTACCACATTCCATTTACTGCACGCTGACTTGCAATGTGTATTGGGAGGTGGTACTATTCACTGGGGTGGGCTTTATTAAAGAACTTTGCAGTTCACATTCTGTGGAGAAAGAATGAGGCTTTTGACAGCTAATTGACTTAATTGTTTGAAATATTTATTGCCCTGGATATACTAGGGGAGAAATAAGAATATAAATAGCTTTCTGTGCATGCTTAGAGCATTAGTCACTTGATGTATTTAAAACATCATGTTCGCTTAACTTAAATATGAGCAGTTTCTGAAGCATGGATTAAATCCAAAATGGAAGGAATGCTTTCCCAAGCTGCAAAATAAGAAACTGTCCTACATGGCAGACTTCCTTATAAGTTCTTCTTTTATTATTTAAAAAAATTACCAAGACACAGAGACTTTGCCAATGAATGGTGCACAGATGTGGCTTTCTCAAGATTGCTTTGTGCATTATTTTTGCTTTCAAAAAGGGCAAGTTCGCATCTTGCAAAATGTTCTTGTTGGTCCTGTAGCAAAGGTACATACACAGTATCGACTGGAATACTGTCTCCTTTTTCATAGAGGTACATGCAATTTACCAGTGAATTCATATGAATACCATGTTGTTGCTGAACAGTCTTTTCCTGGCAAAGTCCATGGCTGAATTTGAAATATCTTACTTTCATATGATAGAATGTGAAAACAATAATATTCGAGCTGCAGCAGTGAACTGTTGTTCTACAAAACCTAGCAAGACAAGAGAATTCATTTTTCATTTATAAAACTGACATGCTAAACCAGGAGAAGACAGTATCAGTGTCCAACTTCAAACAAAATGTCCTTGGTAATAGTACCAGGTAGTGTGCTCGTTTTCCCCGATCAACCAACCCTTGCTGCTTGCGAGGCTCGCAGCTCTCTTAATTTTCTGTGTTCTCTTTGCAGTTTGACTTTGGCGATACTGTGGTGTACCAGGCTATCCACACCATTGAATATTGCCTGGGGTGCATTTCAAACACTGCATCCTACTTGAGGCTCTGGGCTCTCAGCTTAGCCCATGCACGTGAGTATTCCTTATGGAATGGAGGTTTGGATCTGTGTGTCTGATCACCCTGGGCGGGCAGTAGGTGAAAGGCAGGAACGCAAGTAGCCTCCCCGGAGCTCAACTGTCAAGCTCTGCTGGAGAAGGACAGAGCTGTGTGTGCATTAGCTGGGACTAATTAAGTCTAAACACCAGTGTCTACTTGCATAGCGCTCTGCTAAAAGCTGTCTGGATCTAGAACGGGGGGATGGAGTTGAAAGCACTGAATAAAGCAAAGAGCTGCTGAGCAAGGACTCTGCCCTGCACTGTGCAACAGTTGGAGGCAATGTCCTGATGTACTTGGCTGCAAAAGCTGTTGTCCCTCTTAAGTTTCCCACCTCATTGTAGTGGGAGTTTGCCTAACTTTAGTTTTTGCTTTATAAATAAACTG